CTGCTGAACTGCTTTGTAAAGCCATGTGGCATCACACGAAAACTTTCAGCGCGCTATAAATTAAATTTTGCATGCAATAAATCGGTTAATATAGTTTTTAAAATCGATTCCAGCAAACCTTCTGTATAATTGTGTGTAATAGTGACTTTCTAAAGGACACTTGCCTCGTTTGTGATGGTAAGCGTTCACATTGTGAACTTTGAACGTTTAGTGGATGCTCATCAGAGGGGAACGGATAGCTAACATTTAACTTAATCCTGCTGTTAAGTTTTTTTCCCGTCAGCTTTTTTAGTTAGTCTAAAACTTGGAGTTCAAAACCTGCAGGGAGAAGTTACCCTGCAGGTTTGGGTTAGTCTACTATTGCTTAAGAGATTACTGTTGTTATTTCTGTCTGCTTTGTGCATGAGACATTTAGTGCATGCCTATCTGTCCTGAGAGATTCCTCCTCTGCTGCTCTTCTTGAGGTTTCTTCAATTTTTCCTGTTAAAATGCTCTGTGTCCATGCACGGATATGGAACACTGGACTACTGGACTCCTGGACAGTGTGAAAGGCCTCCCACCCTCCTACATAGGAGCAAGACCCACATTAAATGAACTCTTTTTCTGTTTATCTTTAGTCATTTAGCAGATTTAGTTGTTTTTCGCCTTAGTGGCGATTTTGCAATCATTTTGCATTCATATTTAGTTGTAGCATGGCCCGGTGGTTAGTGCTGTTGTTTCACAACAAGAAGGTTCTGGGTTTGAGCCCGGCTGACCTGGGGCCTTTCTGTGTGGAGTTTGCATGTTCTCCCTGTGCCTGTTCTCTCTGGGTACTCCAGCTTCCCCCCACAGTCCAAAGGAATGCAGGTTAAGTGTATTGGCGACTCTAAATTGCCCGTGGTTGTTTGTCTACATGTCAGTCCTGTGATAGACTGGCGACCTGTTCAGGGTGGCCCCCGCCTCTCACCCAGTGTCAGCTGGGATTGGCTCCAGCCTCCCAGCGATCGTATTCAGGAATAAGCGATATAGATCATGGGTGGATGGATTTAGTTGTAGCCATTTTGCATCTCTTTGTACTTGTTATGTGACTTTTTGGTTGTTCTTCATTTCTCTTTAGTTATTTTGAGCCTCTTTCAAGTCACTTTGCATCGCTTTGTGGTCAGTTTTATATGTGTTTTACTTGTTTTTGTGGTTGTTGTGCATGTTGTTGTGATTCTACTGCATCTCTTTATGATTGCGTTACATCTGTTTTTACTCACTGTATATCTATTTGTTGTTGACTGACTTTCTAGCAAGAAATGTTAATAGTCACTTCAGGCTCAGGTCCAAGAGGCCCCTGTTGCCTTGAGCCCCTGTGTTCAATGGGCCCATTCAGTAATCTATCCATGAGCGTGTCATATCCTGTACAGACTTATAGGTTAGAAATTTTATAAAAAGGTTATAATATAAAAAAAAAAAACTTCAGTCCTTATTCATTATAGTTGTTGACTTAAAATTGGGTTTTATATTAACCATTCCTCACAGTAGTAATTTTGACTCACATCTGTCTTTCAGCAGTGGTGCAGTTGAATGACACTTGAAGTTTCCTCCTGAAAGAGCGATGGACAGTAGCTCTCATACACTGCCACCCTCGTCCCCATGTCCCACCACTTTTGGAGGGTCCCTGCCTTTTTCCTCCTCGCCACAGCATACCTGCTCCAGCGGCCATCTTTCACTCCCACTTTCACCTATTTCATTCCCACCATCCCCTACTTCACTTTCTCCAGCAACAGCAGAGTCTGTTCACTCTTCATCTCCTTTGTCACACTGCACAGCATCTCAGTGCCTCGAAGGACAAAACATACAGTGCTTAAATACAGCAGACATATCTGACCAAGATGACCTGACCTGCCTCAGCTGGCTGCATCAGAGAGGTAACCTGCTCCCGCTGCAGCCCCTTCCCAGAATGACACCACTGTCTCAGTCCTCCACACCTACCCAGCCGCTTCCTCCTGCTTCGTCCAAGCCACCATACTCCTTCAGTAGTCTGATTTTCATGGCTATAGAAGCTTCACCACACAAGAGGCTTCCAGTGAAAGATATCTATGAATGGATTGTGAACAATTTTCCTTACTACAGGACAGCCTCTGGAGGCTGGAGGAACTCTGTTAGACACAACCTGTCCCTGAGCAAGAGCTTCCGTCGCATTCAGAGGGACAAAAGCCAGGTGGATACACAACTCATGGTTTCCACATTAAGTGCAGCTGGGTCATTTAAATAAACTGTTTAAATTATAACACTATGGTTCAAACATCCAAATCTGACAAGATCCATCCCACTGAAATGTCCTTGTGCAGCACATTGAATCTAGATGTGTTGCTCTGTAGTGAAGTCAGCAATTAAACTACCCCACAGGGAACTTGTTATAACACACCTCACATCTTAAGGTTATTATATGGCCTAATGTGTCAGTGTTATGACTAACGTTGCTGTTTTAGTGTTTCAGGAAGTTATGTGTTGTTGTTTCAGTCGGTGGGGAAGGGATCACTGTGGTGTGTTTGTCCAGAGTATCGTCCAGCGCTCCTCGAAGTGCTGAGCAAGACCCACAATTATCACAGCACCAACAGCAATCTGATAAACAAGCCGGCACTGTGAGTATAGTCAAGCTGTTTTAAGTCTGTGCAACAGGGCCTACAACAAATGATTCATTTCATTATCAGCTCATTGGTTCTATTAATGTTTAATGCCATAAATTCAAAGTTAAATATTTATTTAGTTTGAACAACTGCCAGAAATTCCTGAATGTTAAGCCAAAAATACAAGGAATTTCTGACTGTCCACTGGAGTCTGTTCCTATCCTGTTTGGTTGCTGAGCCAAACTAGACAGAGATGGAAGTGCAGACAACAGACTTGATGATTCCTCTATAGAACTGAACCAAGTTCCTGAGCCCAGGAACTTGTAGGACTCCACAACTGAAACTGTGCTGCTGAGTATAGTGAGCGGAGATAGGGTGGGGGAGCTCCTCCTAAAATCCACTATCATTTCCAGTGTCTTCCATGTGTTCAGCTCCAGGTTGTTACAACCACACCACAGGGCCAGCTGTTCAACCTCCTGTCAGTAGGCCGACTCCTCACCGTCTTGTATGAGGCCGATGAATGTTGTGTCATCTGCAAACTTCAGTATTTTTACAGAAGGGTCTCTTGAGGTGCAGTCATTGGTATAGAGGGAGAACAGCAGCAGGAAGAGTGTACATCCCTGGGGGGCACCTGTGCTGATAGTCCGGGTGCTGGATGTGGTTTTCCCCAGCCTCAGCTGCTGCTTCCTGTCCATCAGAGAGCTAGTGATTCACTGAAAAGTGGGGGCAGGCACAGTCAGCTGGGTCAGTTTGGAGTGGAGAATGTCTGGTGTTAAATGCCGAACTGAAGTCCACAAATAGGATCTGAGCATAGGTCCCTAGTGAGCCTAGATGTTGCAGGACATAATGCAGTGCCATGTTGACTGCGTCATCCAATGACCTATTTGTTCAGTAAGCAAACTACAAGGAATCCAGCCGGGGGGTTTGTGATTGCCTTCAGGTGGGCCAATACCAGTCTCTCAAAACACTTCATGACTACAGATGTTAGGGCAACAGGTCTGTAGTCAATCAGTTCCCTGATGGAGGGTTTCTTGGGAACTGGGATGATGGTAGAGCATTTAAAACAGGAGGGAACTACACAAACCTGCAATGATCTATTGAAGATCTGTGTGAATAGATAAGAATAAAAAGGTTTGGATAATGTCTCTAAGTCTGAGTTACAAGTTCTCTCCAGCACTTTAATGTCCCTACACCGACCTCCATTAATGTAAAAACAGATCCCTCCTCTCTTTTTTCCAGATAGTCCCTTCATGCGGCCTGCTCTGTAGGTCTGAAATCCCGGCAGCTGAACAGCCTTGTCAGGGATTGAGTCATTGAGCCATGTTTCCACAAAGCATAATGCCGCAGAATCAAGTGATCCTTATAAAATATTAATAAATAAAAAGCAAGCAACACCTGTGAAGCTGCTAGTTGAAACCGGTGAATGTTAACTTTACTGTGCTAACTTGAGGATCTTTTACTATTTTCTTTTCTTAGACAGACTGTTTTTTCTGTTTCCTGCATATTATGGATTACTGTTTAGCCAGAGCAGTAAAATGTGATTTGCCTGTAGGGAGTGAGGTGTTTCTGAATAATTTTACATTTTAATTGTACTCTGTTAATAAGGTGTATTTTAAACAAACAACGTGTATATTTATGGAGTTGTCTTACTATCTTACCATGTTGTGTCCAGGTTGGAAGGAGCTGACTATGGACTTCTTGCAGTCTGTGACTCCATAGACATCACAGGTTAGTGATGAGAAGACTCGCAGCAAGGCTCATGTCACTTAATTAGCACATGTACTTAGATATTTGACTTACATATAGATTTCTTTTAGTACACAATATAGTTCATTGGTGGAGTAACAGCTCTCTATGACACTTTCATTACCTGTGGCTTTTCTCCCTCTCTGCAGCTTTCTCAGCATGCAACATTGTTCCTGTGTTTGTGTTCAGTTGTCATGGCAACAACCTTCTGTTACCGTGGAAACACAGCAATAGCCTAGCTCGGTCCCCTCTATATCCCCTCATTTTATTTCCGAGCTTACATATGCGCAACATGGGTCCACATGCCCATTGAAGAGTGTGGCAAGTGGTTTTCAGCCAGTTATGAACATTAATATTTTACTTTTTATTTCTTACTTTATCTTTATTTTATTTACTTTATTCTGCAAGTTTATTTGACCCCAATTAGCTAACATATAGTGACAGTAGCTACTCTTCCTAGGGTCCATATATAGTTATAATACTTGAGTGACATAAAGTACACAACATTTAAGATTCATATTGACAGAATCGGCAGTATATATGAGAAATACTAAAGCAAATGCAATAACATGATGAATCAAAGCCTGTCTAATTCACAGTATTATCAACTTTTAGAGAATTCAATTTTTTCAAAATAAAATCAAGTAAAAAAATCAATTAGCAGCTTAATCCAGTAAATCACAAGAAAAAGTGGGACGGATAGCTCACTACATCCAGATCACATCTTAAAGAACTAAACAACTGTATATAAAGGCTACACAAATTGTCGTATGAACACATACAGTCTCAGTTTTTTGCTAAAATATGCTGTATTTCTTTCTGAACTAAAAAAAACTTGGTAATGATTTCCATGACGCCACTGCATGATAAATTACTGTTCTTTGTCACTAGATCTAAATGGAGACAACAGAAAGTTACACTGATGACTGACCTGTAAAATAATGACTGGCTGGAAAAAAACTACAGTTTTCTATCAAGTATTTCTTTGTAGTTATAAAGGTATTCCTTATAAAGCACACTAAAGAGTAGCACAGCCAGGTTTTGACAAATGTCTGTTCTGCTTTGTTAATTCTATTTCTCTTGTTGTTGTTTTTTTCTCATGCAGATCCTCTTTCTCACACCCTCCTCTTATCCACACCCTCACCACAAACCCTGACCACTGATAACCCGACCTTCGCTGAAAACCCACTGTGTCCTTTGACTCCAGATCATGAGGAGCTTGTCCCCATGGAGTCAATTGAATACCAGCAGGACGAAGTCAGCGAGGAGCTGGAAAAGGACCCTCTGTCAGACAGCGGGTACATCGAGTTGCACTACTACCAGTCTAACCAGTACCAGTACCTGGTGCTGCCGGGTGACACTGAGCTGGACCTGGAGACTGTGGAGATCCTTCAGCTCGATGTGGAGGCCCAAGAGGCTGCAGGGTCACTGCTGGACCTGGCAGGTGGTGGATATTAGTTTTATATCCTATTTGTAACAGTCATGACTGATGCAAATCCTCCAATAAAGCAACATAAATGTGGATTTATGTTGAAAGTCTAAAATGAGATTAGCTTGATTGATAACATTTGACAGATTGGCTGACACTGCCTTAGGCGTGTATATTTTTGTATAGCTAGATAATAATATAGATCAACTTTACTGATGGACTAACGAGTATGGATCACAGTACTTCATACGTATTGAGGTGCTTTAAATGCACAAGCTGAATTCACTCTCATACTTTACAATAACCAATTGAAGACTTGAGAGCACAACATTAAACTGAAAGCATGGAAAAACTGTACACTGAGATTTTGAAACTGAGGGGAAAAGTATTAATAGATTATGGTCTTCAGTAAAACACGTTTTGTGGGTTTCCACAGTTTGTTTATTCTCAGGGGCTGAAGGAGTGCTTCCAACTCAAGGTAGAAGTACTGCCTGTGGATTAAAATATTTCCCATGTTAAAGTAAGATGTGGGCTGCAAAAAAACTACAATAGTAGGTCTTTAGAAGAAGACACTGAATATGTTACCAACCATTTCTTCAAAGTGGTGCCCATGTTTTCATAGAACTTACTTTATCAGGAAAAAATATTTATAATATACAAACTGAATTCAGTATCTTAGTTTATCTTGCTGCTTAATACTGTTTTTTCTTTTTTACATAAAATGTAATTGTACAGTACTAGCACTACTCAAATACAATAATATAAGTACTTCCAATGTTATTTCTAATCTGTTTCTTTAAACAGATTAAATAGATTGTCATTCTTCAGATCGTGGTTGCTAGAGTTGATTTTACATACATGATGTTATGTTACTGAATCACTGAATGTCTTTGAGGTTTTTTTCTGTGAAACTCTCGTAAGCTAAGCTAAGCTAAGCTAAGATGTTTTCAATCAGGAACAAGCTGATTAGAATAAGTTAAAAAGTAAGATGAATTTACTGCCATTTAAACACTTTACATTTCAGGGTACCACGAATTTCTGTTTGTAAATTGTATGTATTTATGTATCTAAGCTTTAGTTTTTGTAATCTAACAAATAAAATTTGTCATGCCATTCTTTTGAATTACAATAGCATGTTTTGATTTTCAGACAATATATTAGTTTCATTTTGGTAGCATTGCAGTTTAGATAAAGATTATTGAACAGGCCTACAGCGTACAACCCCAGGAGTCTAAGGGGTAGTCCCCTGTGTGTTTCTGCATTTCCTTTTGGAAAGACTTACTAAAAAGATGCAGAATGACTACAAAAGTCTGTGAAAACTGGCAAAATGATATCAAAATAGTCAAAAAATATTAAGAGATGCAGAATTTCTACACATATGTGTCTATGGGCACTTTGTCTCATCATCCGTATCGGTAGTATTGAAAATGTTGTAGGACATGTTTGAGTATTTTCAGCTGTTATTGAATATTGCTGCTGTTTATGTGAATTTCACCTTTAGAGGGCATAGCATTCACATAGGCATAACTCGGAACCAGATACAGCAGCTAAATATTTACATGATATGTCTTCAAACAAGAACCTGTTGCTAAGCTACGATGTCTTTTTCCACTCACAGGAACATTTTCAGATATGATTTGTATGTATGTACAACATCTAACTTGTTATATATTATCTGTCAGGTAGTTCGGTATCCGTGACTTTACTTTAAAAACTACATTTTCCATAACTATTAGGCAGTGTCGGCAGATTGGGTAACGGAGTTTGTAAACAAATTAAGTACGAGCAGGAATTTACGTTGAAACTACATTTCCCTGGAGGTACTGCGCAGGGCGAAGGCGGAAGTTTGTGAGTGTTGTGGAAAAAAGTTCTCATGGTTGTTTTCATGCCAATGCAAAAAGTTTCAGTCGCTGCTCGACTCTCATGCGATTGTGCTAAAGCCGATTGAAGACGCCAAAGGTAACAATGTGTAGCACAAGCTAAAGCAAGTAGATCAACGGGGTTGAGCTAATTCGGGCTATATATCTTAAAGGATTGCTGCAGCATTAGTTTTTAAACACTCGTTTTATTTCTAACAGCTAACGGACACACGTTAGCTTCTCACAGTTTTTGCGTACGTGTAGACAGGCGATTAGCCGTTAGCTAGCAAGCTAGCTAAGTCATTTGTGAAATGGCTTTAGTTAACTGTAGAGATTTACATTTTTTTACATCAAGAGCTTTGTTTAGCTTAGCTGACCCGTGTTTCAAGCTGTCTTTTGCGTAGTTTATTAAGCAAATCAGACAGTAGCACTAAAGCACATTACCAGTATCTTGATCAAGAAATCACACACTCAGTGCAAAGAGTGAGTCTGACAAAATTTAAAAAAAAGTAACAGGTTTTGCATAACACTGGTCAGCTGTCACCCCACTAGCTGGAACCAATCAGTGTCTTAGATATGTGGCTTTCATAGGTATCTTTCAGATTAGACGGCCGGGCCCAAACAGTTGGGCTGTCAGTAGAGACTGGGTGGGTGGGTGTGTGTGTGTATGTGCGTATGGAATGTCTGGAAGAAAAGTGAAACACACGGTTAAACTGTACAAACGTATAGACAGCATGAACGTTGAGCATACGGATTAGATAGCATGGATATTTCTTTATTTTTTTCCATTACAGTCTGGTCCATGTAGTACCAGTTAAGTGGCAACTGCAAAGCCATGTTGATTATAGAGAAGGTACTTGAACATAGCAGAGTGCAGGCGGGTTACGAACTGTGGTTTGTTCTCATAGCTGCAGACGTTTTGTTTAATTAAGCTCTACACTCACTGCAGAGAAATGCACAACATTTTACTCCTGCATGCCACACCTTTGAGGTGCTATGTCTTTGGTGAAAGGAGAGAGGAAGTGCGTTCCACAGAAGAAATGTTATGAAAGCACCACCCTGTCTTACTCATTATGGGAGAGGACCTCCTCTTCAGAGAGCAGCAACAATGAAATCTTTTGAAGCAGCTAAGATGAGCAGTGTGCTGGAGAGCATGCAGAATCTACATGCTGGAGGCAAAGCAGCATGACACCCATAAGAGCATCCCACAGTGAGCTTTACACACAGCTAAACATTGTGTCTGATGGACTCACTGCATGCCTGATTGTGCATTATACATAGGCAAATCAGCTGCATGGCTCACAATGAGCTTTAAGGAATTTATCATTTAAGCCGTCAACAAATGGCTGTTGTCATTATTGAATGATTTATTGGTTTTTTTTTCCCCTGACCATTTTTAATTGAATGATTTTTTTGGTTGTCAGTAGAACACAAAACATTTTATGTAAAGCTACAACAATTAGTCATTTGGGGAAAAAAATGAAACAACTAATTTGAGGATTGAGATTCTAAAGCAGTGTCTTTGAATTGCTCGTACCAGCAACACAAACAACTCAAAAAACAAAACATTATATTATAATTGTTATATATTGTTAAATATAAGGATAACCACTTTTATTTGGCCAAGTATTTTACATGCACAAAGACTATAATAATATAATATTAGACTTGTTATCAATATATTATAATGAATTGCCTTATAGTAACACAAAATACAGAAAACCCAGCACCCCTGTAGAACTGTGAAACTGTAACCAGCAAATGTTTAATATTGATAACAAAACTGTTAAGTGATGATCAAAAAAGTGATTTTTAGAGAAGTAATTTAGTGATTAATCAGGTAGTCTTCTTCTTCTTCAGGTAGAATTCCTACATGCCTAGACTGTCTGTTTATACATAAATGGCAAATAAAATCTTGAGTCTAGTCAGCTGGCAGAGAATGACTATTGACTATTCCCAGTTTCTCACACCCAAGAACTTTCTGCTTTTTATATTTGATGCAATTAGAAATTAATATTTGTTTGGGGGTGTGAATGGTTAACTGTCCCTTGAACATTTTTCACTTTTTGTGACAAGTTGCAGATGACACAGGTTAATTAATAACGGTAATTAGTTGCAGCCTTGAAGGTGAATTAACTAAGATTTTACACATTGTCTGCCTCACAACGAGAAGGTTCTGGGTTCGGGCCCCACCTGGGACCTTTCTGTGTGGAGTCTGCATGTTCTCCCTGTGCTTGCGTGGGTTCTCTCCGGGTACTCCGGCTTCCTCCCGCAGTCCAAAGACATGCAGCTTAGGTTGATTGGTGTCTCTAAATTGCCCATAGGAGTGCGTGTGTGGTTGTTCATCTATGTGTTAGCCCTGCGATGGATTGGCGACCTGTCCAGGGTGTACCCTGCCTTCGCCCGATTGCCGGCTGGGATTGGCTCTCTGCTCTGTGTTTTCAAAATATGATCTGTAAATTAGCCCCACCTGCCACCTAGCAAAGGACTGAAGAGGTCACATTCCTTTGCACAGGGGGAGCAAAACCTGGGTTGGTTTGGCTTTTTGACTCAAATTTGAGTCAGATGTGCTGGTCTTACCTCAGCATGCCTTAGCATCTAAAGCTAATGTGTTTGTTTTGGTAATATTAGTGACCTGGCATGGCCAGGAGTATACTTTATTTTTGAATTATATGGTTTTAATTTCATACTTTTGAGTCTCACTAGACCCTCTAGGCTGAAAATAAATTGTTCCAGTAGAAGATGTTGTTTGTGATGTTCACAGGGACCAGTGCCTCTGCAGAATGGGGAGTAAACCAGGCCCAGTTCAGATCATCACAGTGCATAAGGATGATCACACCTTCGAGCTGGACATAAAGGCTTTGTCTCAGGTTTTGTTGGTTCCTAAGATCCGAGACAAACATGTGGTGGTGCTTT